GGCAGTTCTCTTCAAGTTAAAAAAAAAAAAAAAATCATTAATGCTATTAAGTTAAACGCTTCAATGCTGTATATTTGGTTCGAGATATCGAATTTGCAACTTACGTAATTTTACATGAAAACGAAACGACGCAATTTTAACCAATGGCGATAATGCCGCTGTCATCATTCAGTGCAATTTCGCGAATCAAGATGAATATCTTTGGTCTACAAATCGTGCCAATCGTTGACAATTTCGATTACATGGGAAAGGAAAGGTTATGTACAAAGTTAAAAGACGCAATTCGTATTTGACTTTATCCGAAAATCGAGTATGCAAACATTGCATGCATTTTCATCTCGGGAGTTGAGAGAACGAAAAGAAACTGCAGCCTCTGTTTCGTCCCAGTTTCGTTTTTCAACTCCACACTGTAAAAATGTATGACGACCATGTATGTTAACCTCAACTTCGATTCACGAAATGTCGTATTTTATGTAAGCGAATGTTATCGATCCAATGTAAAAACTGCATTCAAAATCGAATGTAAAATTTCCAACACGTCATACAGATGCGTAGAAGGGGCATGTACGCGTTTTGACGTTTGATCACTGGTTACGCATCTTTCATCGATGACAATTGCATTTGTATAAGACAAGTAAGACGTATCCCTATGACGATTACAACGTAATGCGCAATTCAACACAGAAGAGGAAATACAGAAATACAGTTAATTAAGAGATTAGCTTACCCGTGTCAACACATTCATCTCAAAAATAGTTATAATATTTGATAGTAAGAGAATTCTATAAGTTAATAAGTTACCTGTCTTTTCTATTCAGATCATCTCCTTCAACACTCGTGACAAGTTTTTCTTCGGCCGGTAATTCTGCACCGGCATCGTCTCCTTTTTTCCCTATCCATGTGGACATTTGATTAGTTAATCCAGTGAACATTTTCAAATGATCCACCAGCAAATATAGATGTGATATCTCTATCTGCTGTCCGTGTACCACTCTCCCTGACAACACAAGATACACTGAAACGTTCGCGAGAATGGGTAACGACGAAAACTCGGCCGTCCGTTTCAACGGTCGCGCAACCACGAACTGCGCGCATTCAACTTATGACGGCGCACTTCACACTGCGCAGTATAGTCCGACCGATCGTGGCGCCACGCCTCTCGAACGGAGCCACGTGAAACTAATGTTGCAATCGATCCCTGCAGTGCGCAACGCGAACTATAACGTACGCAATCTAAATTATGATTTATACATTGCTCTATAAACAGTGTATGCAGTATCCAAATATTCCTAGATATTATAGGGACATTGCTCTAATTTTCTCTATAAATTCTCTAGTGACTTTTGGCGCCATAATTTAAACAGGGAATGGGAACCAGCAACGAAAATATATATGAAACAATTTACTTTTCTAACAATACAATTAAATGCGAAGAAGATAATGATCAGGGACAGTCTTTAGAAAAATATATTACTTTATTATACAAGGCAATTATAACATTATCGAACTTGGTATACAATTTGTACATTTTTTTACTTCTTCGAGTGCTTCAGCATCAGTGTTGCGAATCGTTAAGATCAGTAAATTGTACATTATTATACTTAGAGGTAGGTATGTACATAAGCAAATTCACCTAAATCTAATATATTTGGTGTACTATCAATTGGTGTTTTAGTTTACAATATAGAATGCCTTTCAATGTTGTACTGCACATTGAAATTATACATATCTTATGTATTCTGTTGGTACATTTGTACTTAGTTTAGGATTTAGAATTTATGCGTTACTAAATGGAATAAAGATACGAACAGCACCTTACCTTCGATATCACAGCTTAATATGAACATTTTGTGTAGAATTTTATGCTATCAGTATCTCTTTCTTGGTATTTGAACATGATATAGTAATTGATATTGTTTACTTTCTGATTGTTAATGTCCTAAATTTTGAATTTTGGTGATTTACGACTAGTGTTTGAGTTACAAGTTTTATATTAGTTTATCTAATCTAATTTCTCTGTACTGATACTTATAGTTTTGACTTCTAATTCATGATTGTTGATCTTTGAAATTTTATGATTGTTCATGTGATATATTCCTATTATATACATGTAATATGTTTTTACTTGAATTCGTAGTATTTATAATTTTACTATTTTTCATGGAATTTCATGGAAGTTTATACTTAATGCTGATTATGAATTCGCGTCATTTCCCTAACTACCTAATTTGTGTTTTAGTTTTGTTAGAAATTGCCTAACAATCGGGTATATTCCGCAAGTCACTAAAATGAATCTAGTATGCTAAATATATACATTTAAATATTTGGATCCCTAGGAATGTATATTATCTGGACGCAGTCGCTATTTCTCTTTCTCCGACATTGTTTCAGTTGCTTGTTGACGGTACCTGCAAAAAATATACCTCAATTAGATATTCGATAAAAATACGATAGAATCTTGTAATTTAATACGATCATTTTTAAAATACAATTACATTGCTTTATCATTCATGATATAATTACATTACTTTAATATTCATCGAGTGAACGGAAAATATATATCTGAATGGAAATATACGTATATACGTATATATGCATGTATTTGTACTTTGTGTCAACGTATCTGCTATAAATAATACATCACGCCACGAGAGATTATTCAATAATTCAAAGATTTTTTAGCATAGTACAGACCAGAACGTAGACTTACATTACTCCTCGACTAACTTGGTATAAAGCTGTTATTGCGACGAATAGATTTACGCTAAAGAGGCTCCAGTTTTTCGGTGTGATCGCCAAGGCGTATCTGGTCCAGATCAGACCAGTAAGGCCTAACGCAGACGATTGGCTAATGGAGATTTGATTTGCTGGCCTCTGCAGATCACCGAGGCCAGCCATTACAAGTCCCTGTAATTTCCAAATTTTGATTTAAAATACATATATTGGGACGAAAAATGAGAAGAAAATGACAAAGGAAAACAAGGTACATGTCGCAACAGAATGGCAAATAGAACGATGTAGATCATATTCAGGTGGTTTACTTTAAAGGGTTGACCTATATTCAGCAAAGTTGATGGCGATTTGTAATAAGATATGCACGCGCGTGCACGCGAAACTTCAACCTCCGGGAAGATTTTTTTTATTTAAAATTTTCACTTTTCAGTTAAAAAGTCGAAAACATGTAACATTTACGCGAAATAATTTTCTTCTACTGCTCTTTAACATTTTGTTAGAAAATAGATATTGACGACGTATTATCGATTTCATATCTTCCGTTGAAATACATACATATATAAAATGAATTATTAAAGGTGACAATGATGACATTAAGAATATTCATCGTTTCTTTCGTAACAAACGTTACCAGATCGCATTTGGATCAAGTCCATGCGGATACATTGACGAGAAATATTTCTGTAACACTGTTCACAGCGCAGTGAACGACTGTCTGTTTTACATTAAAATTTAAACTAGCGAGATTATCTATATTTAGATGGCTGAGATTCTGAAAATACAATTGACAATTTCCTTCTTCTGACACGACGTCTTTATTTCGAAGTTTAATAATATAACCAGACGTTGAAAACTTCAAAGATATTACTGACCCATTTAAAAGCTGGTGCCCAGAAGAATATAGTCTGCGGACCTGAAAGGGGAAAATAGGTCGATACTGCTGTTACGTATTTCTTTTAATAGTAGCGGTATATATGTACTAATATCTAATATGAAAAAAAAAAATAAACGAAATATGAACGATTTGATAACGATTGTGCAATGCTTTCAAATTATATCACGTGAATTATATTTCATAACGTGGGCATGTTACTCAATCACGTTTCATTAAGTTTCAAACTCCACTTACAAAAAAAAAAAAAAAAAAAAA